CGTGTAATACGTGTAAATAAACAGTCACATGCTGTAGAAACATTTAGAAAGATTGTATGGAGGTGCTTATTTTCGTACGTCAGATCATTTATGTCAGAGCGGAATTATAGCATGATGTATGAATCAAGTTGGCATGCTGCTTCACTCTTTATCTTGTCTTATCACGTTGTGGAGTTATAGATAAGTTGTTAATGTACAGCAATGTCATAATATCATAGAATAGCAGACAATACACTTTAGACTATTCGGCATTCTCGTGATTGCTCAAAACTCCCTAATTAATCTGTTCAAAAAAAAAAAGAGAGAACGAAAGACCTTTGAACAGTCTATACTTCGCTAAAAATAATCAAAAATAATCAGAGTTTTGCCTTCTTTCTATTAGAGACACATCTCATACGACATGGAAGGTAGTACAAGCCTGGATGCTAATAAACAGTGTATAGTGAAGATATGTGAAGGGAATTCGGGATCTGGGTTGAGAAGAATAACCGACAACGTCTTACTTAAGGCAGAAGCTAATGGAACTCTAGCTTTATATTACAAGGATCGTAAAGATGAGTACATGTGCATGAATTGTTATAATGCTATTGTGGTGAACGGAAGAAGTGCCTTTATTATTATGCCACAGAATGGGGGAGAGGGTTGAAAAGACGTAGAAATGATGAAACTTTTTTCATGTCTGAAAGCATTGCACTGTTTGCTAATATCATTTATGAAAGAGAGGTGGTGGAGGAAAACCCACCTGTTTTTGCGTTTTCTCAGCTTAGGTCCATCGCTGAAATTAATGATGAACGGCTAAGATTGTTTTTTGATGAAATCGAAGAATCAGCCTGTATCAGAAAGAAGAATAAAGAAGCAAGAAAGGAGCTAGATCGGTCACTAGCATATCAATGCTATTTGATGTGCTGGAATCGTAATAAATCTATACAACTTTGGAATCTGTGGATGAACAATCGGCGAGCGAAGAGTTTACGTGGGTAGATGGTGTTGCCATACTGATAAATTTGCTTTACAATAGAAAAAACAGCCAACGATTTATAGCTTCCAAGAATTGCGAAACGATATGGAAAACAAAGATCATCGGCTAAGTATCTTTTTTGATTCTAAACAGAATATTTAGAGAAGTTAGATAAGCGATTAGCCCTTAGTGTTATTTTATATGTAATTCAAAATTAACTGCATTTTTAAGACAGATTCATCAATATTTTTAAATTCCATGGGAACGTCCTATGAGGCAATTAATGCATTCGCAACTGCTGGAATTACTATCACTGCTCGTCATATGGATAGGAAGAAAGCTGACCTTGCAGAATTGCATGATGATCTAATCAATACTTATCTTAATAGGGACATTAGGAAGGCAATGATACTCGATATTGATGACTACCACAATATTCATGCCGAACGGACACTAGATACTTGCTCAACTTCGCCGGTCTCACACATGACGACTCTGATGTTAAACTCGATTGAGACCGATGCCATTTCGATCTATGGACCGAATGGTGTGTCAGTTCACAACCATGCACTAATTGATCCACTCATTATTTCTAAATATTTAGACGAGAAGTACATGAGAGTTATGACAGTAACTTTCAGCGAGCGCTTTTACCATGATGATTCAATGGATGCAAGATTGAATGTACTAAATTTACATTCATATGATGATCGAATGAAATCCCGACAAGAAGAGCGTAGGATGAAAGATTGTATGCTGTTAGACTGAATATACAGAAACTAAGGATCTGTCCTTAGATGTTATTCTTACGCAATTAGAAAAGAATACGAGTGCATTGTATATGGTTGATGAAGCTTACAATCATCATTGATGACAAAGTGTATTTATTACATCGTTAAATTATAATAAATAATAAGTATATAAACGTATGATAGTTGGTCATTGGATTATTAATATTATTTCATCGCTTGGTATTGATGCTACCTGACAACATTTCCCTAAAGGTAGTCAAATTTCATAGTTATCGACGCACTCTTCTGTGCGGATTGTTGCAAAGCAGCGATTGTTTGCTTCAGACGAGATATCGTCTAATAATATCGATGCAATTTGCGATAGATATTAGCGACAGGCAATTATTTACGGTTACATCACTCGAAATAGAGGATTCTCATTGGAACATATTGGCCTTGAGCCACAATAATCATGTCCCACTAAAACTCGAGCCACAATTACCTAATTTGTAATTAGTACTACAATACGATTGTCTGCTATGCTTAATATCATACAGTTCGCATTCATTAGTTATCTGTCATTTGTTTCTCACTCACAACTTTGATTATCAACCAGAATATACTCTTCTGCAGAAATATGTGATATTTGGTCAATAAGAACTATGAGTTCTTGTTCTAATAAAAAATTATAGTATAAATATGATATTCGTGCACATAATACCGTCAAGCATAACACTAATTAAACGCTTGATGTCAAGTCGTATGGAACTGGTAGCTAATGGTTTAGTAATGTAGTAATAAGTAAACCGAATACTTTTAATATTTATTTCATTATTTATGATAGGCAATTGCAAGCTAAAACGCGCGTAATTGATCACCTTCTTTGGTAATCTCACTACTCTATTTGTAATTATACAACTTGCACTATAAAATTTATCAGATAGGAATAACCATTTCATCTCCAAATTATTTACATGGGGCAAAACCCCAAAAAATCTATCTAATGATTTACTATTACTATTACACTATTAAATAAAAAACTCAAAACAGAAATTGTCCCTTTATAATATGTACATCAAAACGAAGTATAATTGATAAGTACGTTATATGTGGAGAAATAAAAAGAAGTAAGCGCGGTGACGCAGACACCAGTCAACGTAGAATATTATTGAAAACATCAACTCTTAATTACGACCTCCTGATCTAAAGATACCGCATAGCAATAATATTTCTTTCGCTACTTTTTTAACCGTGAAATTTCCCGTTTCTTTGTCTAGACTTGCTAACAAAGATGTTAAAAAGTTAAAAGTTTTGCATTATTTCGCAAACCTTTTTACGATAGGCATTCTTTTTCTCTTTATTTACCACGAAAAGTAAGTAGAAACTAGTCCTCGTTGAAAGGTGGAATATTCTTGTGCAACCGCATTATTGTCATCTAATACATTCCTAACTTCTGTATTAGATAATAATAACCAGTAGGTATGCGCATAGCGAATA